TAGAAAAATATCCTCAGCTGAGGATTAAAAAAAAATCAAAGTACAATAATGTTACTAACAAGAATTAAATGAGAGTTTTAAGTTCCATAAAGAACTTATGATGACTAAAACAACAGTCACGCAATATGTTTCATAAGAGAATAAATGATCCCTGAAAAAATGAAATCTCTTAATTCTAATATTTAGTAAATCCAGAAATATAAGAATCCAATGAATAATAAATAAGCCTCTAAATGTTTATTGAAATGAAAACTATAACAAAGGAATGTCAACTTATCTCTGCTGCTGAACACTATGTTCAGTGTTGAGGGTTGAAAAGTATATTACAAGAGTGCTTTTCTAAAGTTAAGTTCTTTTTTTAAAAAAATATATCTTACTGATTTTTTTACAGAGAGGAAGGAAGAGGGATAGAGAGTTAGAACCATTGATGTAGGGGAGCCCAGGGGATTGTCAAGGGCGGGGGGAGGGGGGGAGGACACATATGTAATACCTTTTGTAATACTTTAAGCAATAAAAAATAAAAAAATTAAAAAAAAGAAACATCGATGAGAGAGAAACATCGATCAGCTGCCTCCTGCACACTCCCTAATGGGGATATGCCCGCAACCCAGGTACATGCCCTTGACCGGAATCGAACCCGGGACCCTTCAGTACGGAGGCCAACGCTCTATCCACTGAGCCAAACCGGTTCCGACTAAAGCTAAGTTCTTTAGAAAAAACTCTTAAGTAAATCTCTTCCATTTTTGCAATGAAAACAAGCAGCCTAATCACCAATTAGGCACTAATTATATAAATGGGTTCCACATAGTGATAAAAGATGATTTAGGGACATTTTTTCCCTTCTGTTTTTGCTTTTTCTTAGGTGGGGGGTATACACCTAAAGTGACTAGGCAAACTAGATAGTCAGCAGGTTATTCAAGAGCTTGTTTGTGTCCACAAAGCAACTGAATCCTATTTGGAACTATTTCTCTTCTTCAAATGTCATGGCTAACACTATCACAGGATGAACAATACATACTGAAACTTAAAAGGGGGATTTCTCACAGATTTTTACTATGCTGGACCTAATCTCTGAGGCCACTTGACTTAAATGAGCTCAGCTGTTTTAAAACTTAAAAAGAAGGCCACTACTGCAATGAGTTTATTTTACATTCAACTGTTTTACTGTATGTACCAAAAGAGTTTTAATTTTTCAATTACTTAAATGTTTAAATGAGATAACTTGATTATGTATGGAAACAACTATTCAGTATAAGAAGAAACCAGAGTGAAACTAATAAAAAAATTCCACACCTATACGAAAAGGATGCTTGCTGAGTTTTTGTTGTTGTTTTTTTAAGAGGAAGGGGTACAGTGTGTAATGAGAGACCAAGCTTCTCATCCCTGCTCTGCCACATACTGGCTCTTTACCCTGGTCATAGCACTTAGAACTGATAAATATTCATTTCTATGTATGTTAAGAAAAAGTAGCAGTAACTACCTCACAAATTGGAATGGAGATTAAATAAAATAATGGTGGTAAATTAACCAGCAAACAGTATGTTCTCAATAAATGTTAATATCCTCCTTTCTCCCCAATGGCCCAGTTTTCAGCATGTAGCCATTAAACTATACACAAGCTACTATAACATATTCAAAAACAAGCTATGAAAGATATTTCTCTGCTGTTTTAACTAGGTAAACTCAACAGTCAACTAGTTTTTATTAAATATTGGACAGTCATTTTAAAGAGAACTCAAAACTCACAGAAGCTTCATGGTAAAGACAACTATAATATGGGTTTTGTCTTCAAAAACTGCTTTAAAAATAATTATTATAATATTGCAGTAGCACACTATGGGACAGCAGAAACAAGGCCCATCATACCACTCAATCCTTCAGTGGGTTCCCAATTCTCTTGGAATAAAAACCCAATAGCCTTTCAATGCCTACCCCCATGCCCATCTCCACTCCTCACTCAGACCTCATCTGCTCCAACGCCAATATGACACTGTATCGGGGAGAGGGAGCCCCATACAAACTGCTCCAGCAACACGATCTCAATGTTCCTCAAATCTCTCCCCACCGTGTTTCTGTGGGACTCACTCCTTCATCTCCTAGTCTGCTCAAAATTCACCTCACCAGTAGTGAAGACACCATTTTGCAACCCCACTTCCACTGCCCCCCTCCACTCTCAATTCCCCTCCCTAAAGGGGTTTTTCTCCCATAGCACTTACCACCTTCTAACATAGAAAGGAAGAAAAAGATATACGATGTTTATTATCTGTCTTTGCTGACTAAAATGTAGCTCTCACCAGAGCAGGGATTTTCAACTTTCAGTGAAACAAACTATACATATACATATATATACATATACATATACATATACATATACATATACATATATATACATATCCCCAGTGCCTGGAACAGTGCCTGGAACATAATAGGTATTTAATAATCATCAAAATTAAGGCCCTTCTTTAATTTACTTTTATATATATAGTCAAACAAATGTAAAACAAGTTCTTAAAGAGACAATCTTGAACAGGCCTATAGTCATTTGAATGTATAAACACTGGTATTTGTTCAAAACACAATCTTAAATTTTGAAGTCCACACATTTAAAAAAACTAAAAAACAGTAATTAACATCATTAACTATTCATTTAAATTTTGTTATTTAAAATATTCATTAATAATACTTGGGTTTTCATGTTTGAGTAATATATTTTATTTTCAAATCCAATTTTCAACCATTTCTAGCGATTTCATGTGAGTCAGAAGACTGTATCACAAACATTGGGGGAAATAGTAAGCCAGGAGAAAATAATTTCAATTCTACAACAAACAGTTTTGCAACCTTGATCCTCAAAACCTCATTGATCCTCAATTTCTTCTTTTGTGAAGGGGGAGTAAATAGATGATCTCTGAAGTCATTTTAGGTGTAAAAATTCTATGATACTGTGAATCAAAAATCTAGTAGGTTACACAGTCTACACACTTCTCACACCTCTAATAAAAATCATGAGGGTGGCTTAGTGATTGAGCTTCGACCTATGAACCCAGAGGTCACAGTTTGATTCCTAATCAGGGCACATATCCAGATCATGGGCTGGATTGCAGGCCCGATTCCCAGTGTGGGGTATGCAT